ATCAATTTTTTATTAGATTTTGATAGAAAATGATAAAACATGTGGTTAAAAGTTGTGGAACACATTAAATATGTAGTTAAATTGTTGATTTTGATTTAAATTTTAATCAATAACAAACCTGAGCTTAGTTGTGTCTAATATTAAGCCTTTGTTTGAGCTCCATTTTGGGGGAAAAAATGTATTTTGGAATAATTTTTTTTTTAAAATTAAGAATGAGTGATTAAAAAATAAGATTTTTCTTTTTGATTTTACATTTAAAAAATGTGTGGTTGAAAATGAGGCTTAAACGAGGGCTTGAGTGGGATTTGTTTAATTTCAATTGGATTGAAAAAAAATTAAACTTAATTTATTTTATAATTTGTTTTGTAAACGATTTTGAAAACAATTTGTAAAATCGAAAACTCAATCAAAACGCTTCAATTTTATTCAAAATCAAAATGTGATATCAACGATTATAAGACAAAAAGTGATTTAATTTATTTGACAATTTCGTCGATTAGCATAGGGCAGGGACCAATCCCGTCCCGAACCCTTTTAACTGGTTATGGAGACGAAAAATGTAACAAAAATATTAGGAGGGTGTTTGGTAGAGATTAAAATTGGATTAAAATTGAAAAATTAGTCGTTATTGTTGACTTTTATTAAATGAGTGAGATCCAATAACAACTATATTTTCAATTTTAATTAGATTTTAAGCTGTACCAAACAGACCATAGATGAGATGGGATGAAAATGATTGACCCATCCCGTACCCCCCCTTGCCATCCTACTACGTAGATTCGTTTCACTCTGCCCTTGCCATCCTACCTCCAGTCACTTCTCGTGCGTTCAAAGGAACTGTTTGAAAAAGCACCGCCAGGTCTCAAACGTTCAATTTCAACGTGAACTGTGAAACACTGCAATTCTTGTTCCCACAGTAACAAACTTCCCCTTTCAATTCTTCCATTTTCCCGCCATTGCTAACAAATTCTTCTGCTGCAATCCTCTCTCTAACGACACCATATATATACACAAACACACAAGTTCCTAGACCCCAGTACACACACGACCTGATATGCGAAGAAAAATGGAGACTAGGAAGAGAAAACCCTTATCAGACCTAACAAATTCCTTCAATTTAATCTCTACCTCCACTCTCCGCAAGCTTGCCTCCTCAAAAACCCCATATTCAATTCTGAAATCAAATCCAAGTTCTAAAACTGAGAAGTTATGTTCCGATTCCGACACCAGGTCCGGTACCAGTATCGGATCATCCAATGTTAGTGCCGCCCGGAATTCGCATACTGTTCAATTTTCGACAGACCCTTGTCGTCCACTCTCGTCAATTGCCTCATCTGGTAATTATGTTTAGGTATATTTACTTGTATGCGCATTTTTTTGTATGAATGAGCCTTCCTATGTGCTTGTGTTTTTATTGATTTTAGGATTTAGAAATCTAGGGTTTGGCTTGCCCAAATTCGCTGCATGTGGGTGGATTTTTATTTATTTATTTATCAGGGAGCGGAGGATAATTATGAAAATTGTTGTTTATATGGGATGTTTTAATTTCTGAGTTATTAGTTAGATTCTGAATCCTGTACTGCTCTTTCAATGAAATAATTACTTGTTATTTTTAGTCATTGTTACTATTATTTTCATTTTTCTTTGGGATTTTTAATTTTCTTACCGTTGTTTTGTTGTTGATTCATGCAGGGAAATTTAAGGGGTGCTTTGCTTGTTTTAAATTTGAATTTAGGGTCTTTCAGGGGACATTATTTTTGAAGTTTAGATTGAAAAGTTCTTGGTTTGCTTAGATTATCTAGTAAGAGAGTAGAACTGATTTATATGGATATCGTACATGTGTAATTAGTTTCTCTTCTATTCCATTCTGGGTGTTTGCAAATGTTGTTTTGACCAGTACTCAAAGATCGAGATGCTTTGCAGTGGTTAGCAATTTTCTGTGCATGTTCTTATTTCTTGTTCTTGCATATGTTTTATCCTACGGATAATAGAAAGCTGATCTGTACCTTACTGCTTACTGAAGGGGATGGGAAAACTAAGAATGGAGCATCCAGTCGAAGACAGACAACATATGTACCTCAGAAAAAAAGAGAGGTTGTTGCTGCAACCCTTAGCTTCACTCCTCTTTTAAAGATGAAGGATAAAGGAAAGGCAATTACTGTACCATCCTATTGCCCACCTCCTGAGAAAACAGAGGACTATGGGAACCCAATTCGTGGTTCTTGTAGTTCACTGGAGAAAGAAATGGAAAAGGTGAAAGGAAATCTCAGTCCTAATGGATATACTGATAAAGTGGAAGTGCGGAAGGAAATTCCCAGTCATTCTAGCTGTTCATTAGAAAACGGAGAGAAAGGGAAGACAATTCTCAATACTTCTGGCTGCTCAATTGAGAAAACAAAAGAGCTGAGGATGGGAATCCTTAATCCTTCTAACTGCTCATATGACAGAAGAAAGGAAAGAGGGGTCGTGACCTGTAGGCATAACTCCTCACTCTATAAAACAAAAGAGATTGGGAAGACAATCCTCAATCCTTCTAGCTCATCAGTTGAGAAAACAAAGGATAAAGGGAAGGCTGTTCTCAATGCTTCTGGCTGCTCAATAGAGAAAACAAAAGGGTTGATCCTTAATCCATTTAGCAGTTCATATGAGGAAAGAAAGGAAAGAGGGGTTGTGATCCATAGTCCTTCTGGCTCCTCACTTGAGAAAACAAAAGAGATCCGGAAGACAATCCTCTATCCTTCCATCTGGGCTGAGAAAACAAACGATAAAGGGAAGACTGTTCTCAATCCTTTTGGCTGCTCAATTGAGAAAACAGAGGAAAAAGGGAAGTCCATTCTCAATCCTTTTGGCTCCTCACTTGAGGCGACAAAGAAGAGAGGGAAGGCGATTCTCATTCCTAGCTCAGTTGAAAAAATAAAAGATAAAGGGGCATCTGCTACTGAGCCGGTTAATTACACTTCTTGGAGGAGAAAAAGTGGAAAGAGGACTATAGATATTGCGGCTTCTAGTTGCCCTCCTTTACTGAAGACCAAGTAGCATTCTCTCTCCCTCCCACTCTCTACTCACATGTACACAAACATGTACACCTATGCACACAGAGAAAATATCTGTAATATGTTCTGTTTATGCCAAATTGGACTTTGTGTACTTTTGAAATGATATCCTGATTTGTCTTACGTCACAGACTGTCGCGACTCTTTGAGAATTGAGAGCTTGTAGTAAGTGCATAATATGCTTATTTCAAAATTCCAGATGCATTGGAGTAACTGGTTTCTAATTATAGACAAATGTAATGTCATAAGTTATATAGCATAATCGATTTCTTGTGCCTCTTCTTATTTTAATGATACATCAAGTTTTCTCAGTTTTGGTTTGTGCTCGTAATCTAAACAGTATTTTTATTATGGGAGTAAGCCAGCAAGTCAGCAACTAATATATTTCTTCTAATTCTCTGCCTGTAGCTATTGCTTGTGCTGATCTTTTTTTTAATGCCTTTTCTGTTTAGGAATGGTTTTAATGAATCTCAAGAAGTTAAACCATCGAAGTCATGGACTGATCTTCATGATAAGCTTAAAAAGGTTTGTACAGATTTCTCATTTCTTGACACAAGGAATTCAAAACTGCAATGTTTTTGGTTATTGCTTTCGATTCCTATCAGTATTATTCTGTCACAGCTTTCACTTATGCCTTCTCTTGTGGAACTAAAGTTTCATTTGATTCCCCTTCTATTTTCTTTGTTTGCACCTAAATCCCATTTGAATTGGACATCAAGTTGTTTCAGTGGATTTACGACATCTTCTTTTATTTTCTAATTGAATGGAATTATTTATTAGGCTAATTTGGATATTGAGGCTATCGATGAAGTGTAGCATAAGATTGATTATGAACATATATAATAACTGAAACATATTAAAATACAATATTGATTATTGCACTCACAATATATCTTGAACTATCTGAAAAATCCATGATAAACCATTTCAAATAAATTAAAAGTCTAATTTGCAACTGGATGCATAAAATGGATGGAGAAAAGTAGAAAATAATTGCAATCACATACCAGCTACTAATCTACACCGAAAATTTGAAGTCTAAAATAAATGGAACAGCTAGTGAAGCACTTAAGAATTTTGTTTATTTGACTTTAAAAGGAAATAAATCCAAAGCAAAGAAAACAAAACACAGTGCCAGGGGTGATAATAAGAAACGTATAAACAGAAACAAGAGTAAGTTGCCTGTCTGGCAGTTTTTGCTATCAGTTTTATGCTATCAGAAAGCTGTAATTTCACTTGGGGCATCACGCTCTAGCTGTAAGAGCTAGTGCGTACATGAGCTCTGCATTTCTTTCTTTAATCTCCAGTCTTTTTCTTTTTAATTTTTTGTGTTGGGCTTAGTCTAAAACAGCCAAAAAACCCTTGAAACACTTTGGCTATGAAAAATCAACCCTAAAAATTTATGACTTCAAAATCTCAGAATGCTCACCTGTGGCCTTGAGTTATGGGTCTAAGTAAGTTGAGGCTTAAGACTTGACTGAGGACACTTGCAGGTTTGGCAACTAAGCTCATGGCTTATAAGCCATGGACCCCGCTCAAATGTGTGGTTAAAAAATGTAATCGGTGTAGGTTCCACACAAAATGAGAAATAGTAAGCTATAAGCCATGGGCTTATTTGCAGAACATGCTCAAGTGTAAGCCTTAAAGTCTCCTAATAAAAGCCCTGTGCTAGGCGGCTCTCAAGGCTTAAGCCTTGGGCACTTTAGAAAACACAAGATAGTTGTTTTATTTGGTTTTTAACTTTCTGAGGAAATTCAACTGAACTAAGAGCATTATAAAACTGAATTCAAAGCAGCAGACTAGGTTGTCATTTATTTTAATATGTCCTAATTTCTATTTTACAAAAAAATATTAGGCTTTTTTTTTTGGCTGTATGATCAGCCCTTTCTTTTGAGTGGCGCTGAACCATATGGAAATGAAATTGTACTATAATAAACACAAATTATATTTGTGGCAGGTCTTTTTACTAGTTGACCATTTAGTCGTTGATGCTATTATATAAAGAATATTTATACTAAAATTTCTTGGTAGATAGAATGGTGGCTCTTCTATTGAGAATTTTGGAGTTGTCCAAGCATGAAAGCCCCTATAGAATAGGGGTGTGATAGATAATCAGATAATATTGTCTGTTTAATTTCACATAAAGCATCATTGCTCTCTCTTATGACTACTATAATCCAAATTCCCATCAGTATTGAACTTTGATAGTTAAAGGTTACACGACTGCCCTAACATCTCATCTTAATGTCCTTTGACTGCTGTTGGTGTTGGCTATGAATATCCCCAACTTTGGCAAAAACCATTATATTTATTTAAAGCATTTAACATCACATTCTGATGGCTCAAACTCGGTTACGGAAAAGATAGGAGATGGAGAGTAACCAATTCTAATAATACATGAAATCAATAAAGGGCTCTTTCATTCTAAGACTATCCTGTGCCAAAAATGCCTTTTATAGAGCACCTATGCGATACTAATTATTTGCCAAAATCCAGTATTGATGTTTCATGGATAATGTGATTTTGCAGAAGAGGTGCATGCAGCAGAAAGGTGCTAATGAGTTTTGCTTGCCACCAGATTTTATTGAAAAGCAGAGAGCATATTTTGAAGAAGTTGACAAGTTTGAATTGCCAGTAGAGGAAGTATAACAGGATGAGTTACGACGAGAAAGAGAGAGCATAGTTAGCTGTACAAAGTGGGTGTTTCCAGCACATAGGTTCTTATATAGTCCCAATGTGATATGTCAATCGGGGGTGATGTGTTTCTTGCCAATTTTGACGATAGTTTATTTTAGTAGGTGATTCTAATGCTGCTGAATACGTGTAAATAAGGCTTAGCTTCCCAAGGGAGTGTATTGTACTTCCAATTGTAGCCTTTTCTGTCAGTGTGTTATTCCGTACTTGTACGAATTTTCTTTAGTAGCCACTCAACATAAGTATAACCTGCATATCTATCCCTTTTTCCTCCGTAAGTTTATGTTAAATATAAAACTGTAACGCTGTTGTGGTCATTAAGCTGTTCTATAAGGTACAACATGATGTCAACTTCTTGTTATTGATGAGCATTTGAAGTTATTTGCATACTCTGTGAGAGTGCATATCCTCATTCCATCTGCTCTTTAATCTCTCTTATCAGTTGCGCTGTGCTGTTGAAACTGGTATTGTAAATAATGAGTTCTTGCTGTATGTTGTATAATGAAATTGAATAATTAATTTGGTGTAGAATGAAATTGAATAATTATTCAAACTGTAGAAACATAAAACAGAGGAAGAAGAAAAAGAGGAGGAAGCCGGCAGAGAAGAAAAAAACAGTGAAGGGTAAAAAAAAGGAGAAAATGTTGGTAGCTGCCAATTGAAATTTTATTCATTCATCAACTGTTTTAACTATAATGAAAAATTCATTATAAATAGCAAAAACATAATATACTAGTGAAGGGTTTGGATCTACCCATTACTAAAAGTCCAATAATAGAAAACATAAATAATAAAATCCACAATAAAAAATAAATTTCGATGGGTAAGTCCAATAACAATAAAAATAAATCTCGATGATGTACGCATCAACTCTCTCGAGGTAGGGGAAAAACTCGACTCTATTGAGTGGATAAGTTATAAAAGACTGCAATCAATTGGCCAATCATAAACTAAGGGGTCTTCTGATGTTCATAAAAGCATGTCAGTGGTGGTTTGAATCCGGTGTCTCCACAAATGTCCTCCGAATGTGTGGAAGGAGAACTGGGCAAAGGAAAATCTTGCTAACTCCGATAGAGCTCCAATAAATCTGGATTAAGCTGCTGTAGTGTCTCTCTAGTAATTCATGTACAATTTGACTCAGATCGATCAACCCAACAAACAAGGAAGTGTTGAACCTCTCAATTTTTAGTCAACACAATATGTTTATCTAAAATATAATCAATTTTATATTTGTATGCTGGGAAATGTGGTATTGGGTTAAAAGTGGCAAGAGATTTAGGGTCAAGGTCCACAGATGGAAGTAGAAGAGGATAATCAGAGGAATTGGAATGGAGATAAGCAACTAAATTCTCAACATTGAAAGTAGAGTGGTAACCAAGATGTGGCGGACGATCAAGTACATATGCATTTGGGCCAACTTACTTTAAAATTTTAAAAGGACTAGCACTACGGGCTTGCAATTTGGATGCGGATCTATGTAGATGCCGCTCCGGTCTAATTCGAATCATAACATAATCCTCAATATTAAACTCAACATGTCTTTTATGTAAATTAACTCGAAGTTTATATGATGCATTACTAGCTTCAAGTTATTTATTGATCTCAATATGCAAGTCATGAAAATGTTGTACAAATGCTTCAGTTGACATAAACATTTTAGCATGTGGGGACATCAAAATGAGATTTTAAAGCTTTCTAGGCTTAAAACCATGACAACTTCCAATGGACTCATACCCAACGATCGGTTCATGGAATTGTTATATGTAATTTTAGCTGTAGGAAGAATCAAATCCCAATTTTTAAGTTTTTCTTGGACCGGACATCTTAATAAATTACCAAGACTGCGGTTATCCACTTTCGTTTGACCGTCAGTCTGCGGGTGATAGGCAGTAGAAAATTTCAATTTTGTACCAACCTTTTGTCACAACGTTCTCCAAAAGTGACTAGTGAACCGAACATCCCTATCCAACCTTTTTACTACAAGGAATAAAATGAGTAATTTTGGAGAAACAATCGACTACCACAAAAACAGAATTATGCTTCTTTGGGGTACGTGGAAGTCCTAGCACAAAATCCATACTCACATCTTGTCCAGGGCAATAAAAAATGAGAAGAGGTGTGTATAGACAAGTGTTTTATCTCTTTTGTTTGACCAACTAACAGGTGTTACAAGTAATAACTATCTTAGACACATTTTTTTTTCAAACTATGCCAATAGAATTGACGTTCAATCTCCGCTATGGTCTTATCTCGCCCAAAGTGACCGGCTAAACCTCCTATGTAGATGCCAGTGTGTTGCCTCTTTTGTTTGGCCTACTGACAGGTGTTACAAGTGCTAACTATCTTGGCCACAGCTTTCATCAAATTAGTCCAATAGAATTGACGTTCAATCTCCTCTATGGTCTTATCACCCCCCAAAGTGACCGACATGAATTTCACATACTATGAAGTCTCACACTGAAGTTCGAGGGATGCACAATTTATTGGCTCGAAAAAGATAACCCCTTCAAGGCGAAAGCCATTCGCAGTATCTGACCATCTTCCTTGCAAATCAAGAAAGATATCTTTAAAGTTGGGACATGTCTCGTAATCTTCCCTAACTTGTTCAAAGCCTATGACCTTGACGCTCATAATCGACAAAATTGAGATATGACGACTCAATGCATCAACCGCCAGGTTTTCAACACCCTTCTTATGTTTCAAAACAAAAAATAGGCTTGCAAATACTCAATCCAGTAACCATGCCTAGAATTCAACCTTTTCTGGACGGTGAGATAACGGAGGGTCTCGTGGTCCAAATAAAGAACAACCTTTTGAGGCAGGAAATAATGGCGCCAATAGTGCAAAGCCTGTACAGCTGCATACAATTCTTTATCATAAATTGAGTACCGTTATTTAGTATCATTTAATTTCTCACTGAAATAAGCAATAGAGTGGCGTTCCTGACTAAGGACTCCACCTATTCCTACCCCAGAGGCATCACACTCTACCTCAAAAACATTGGCGAAGTCAGGAAGGCGTATGACATGAGCTTCCGTCATTCACTTCTTGACTAGCTTAAAAGCCTTAGTCGCTTCTTGTGTCAACTGAAACTCTCATTTATTCACGCACTCCGTAATAGGAGCCATGATTACCGGCATCCGTTTCTTAACTATTTTAAAAGCCTTAGTTGCTTCATGGGTCCAATGAAACTTTCCCTTCTTCATACACTCCGTAATGGGAGCCATGATTGTGCTAAACCCCTTGATGAAGCGATGGTAAAATTTAGCTAAGCCATGAAAACTCTTGACATGTCATGTATGGTCTCAGGTTTAGGCCAATCAATAATTGCCTGAATTTTGGAAGAGTTAGCAGATACCCCCGTAGAGGATACAAGGAATCATAGGAAAACAACTCTCTCGATGAAGAGAGAACATTTCTTGACGTTAGCATACAATTTTATTGCCCGAAGGACTATACAAACCTGCTTGAGATGTTCTCGGTGTTGTTCCTTCGTTGAATTATAGATGAGAATTTCGTCAAAATAGACGACAAGGAACTTATCCATAAAAGGTCGAAGAGTTTGTGTCATTACTCGCATAAAAGTACTCGGGGTGTTGGTCAGTACAAAAGGCATAACTAGCCACTCATAAAGACCATCATTTGTTTTAAAAGTGGGTTTCCACTCATCTCCTGGGCGAATCTTAATTTGGTGATACTCACTCTTCAAATCGATCTTAGAAAATAGTGTAGCACCAAACATCATATCTAACAAATTGTCCAGCTTAGGGATGGGAAAGCGATACTTTACCGTAATCTTATTGATGGCACAACTATCTATACACATCTTCCAAGAGCCATCTTTTTAGGTGTTAATAGTATAGGAACTACCCAAGGACTTAAACTCTCGTGGATGAATCCTTTGTGAAGGAGTTCATCCACTTGCCTCGAAATTTCAGCGTGCTCAGTAGGACTCATCCTATAATGAGGCAAATTTGGAAGCAACACCCCCATGACCAAATCTATGGCTGTTGGATGTCCTATAACGGAGGTAATTGGTTAGGTAGGTCTTCAGGGAAGACATTCTGAAACTCTTGAATGATTGCTTGGACTTCAGGATGGGCTACTATTGGGGAATTCAATGGAACCTCCATGATAACCAAGGCAAACACAATAGAATCGCCCACAAGTGTGCGTTCGAACTTCGTAGGGTTAATGATATGTAACCCTTTTCTTTCCTCGGTTTTCTTTACCTTATGTGAGCAAACAAGTTTCGGGGATAGTGGGTTAAGGTGAGTCTTCTTTCCATTAAACATAAAGAAACATGAATTGGATCGACCATAAATGGTTACACCTAAATCGAACAACCAAGGTCGACCAAGAATGACGTGACCAATATCCATTGAAATGACGTCACACCATTTATGATCCTTATGCTTGAGAAACTGAATAGGTACTAGACTACGTTCTTTTAGAGCTATCAAGGAATTATCAACCCAAGAGACGCTATATGGCTAAGGGTGAAGAACTGATTTCAACCCAAGACAGGATACAGTAGCCATCGAACTGCATTAATGCAACTACCACTATTCACAATGACTTTACAACCCTTATTATTGATCTTGATGTCAGTGTGGAAAATGGCATGACGACGCCAATCATCGACATTTTTGGGTTGAGTAAGGTTACAACGTACAACTCCTAATTTAGACTTGTCGGGAATAAGGGGTCCTAACCCTAAATCCACGAGGAGGGTCCGAATAAAACCTAAGAAGGTATCTTCGTTATCATCCAAGTCGTCAAACCCTTCAAACTTAGACTCATAAACTTAATCCTCCAACGGGTCATCCACTACACCCTCACGTTCTTCTATAACTATGGCTTTACTAGGACAGTTAGAGGAAATATGATGGAAATCCTTACAGTTTAAGCATTGCAAGCAGGAGGGCAACCTTGAAACTTCAGGACCTTTACTT